AGTGAGTCGACGGGAGAAATCCGTACCTTTCCTTGGTTCCGTGAGTTCCACAACTCGTTGAGTGATATGCTACGCTGACTCCCCTGATTTGAGTTTCACACCTCTGACATTCACAACATTTACGATGACGGCGAGCTGACGGACTACCTGATCAACTTCGCGACGAATTTGAACCCGAACGGCGGGACTGTTCCTAACTGGCCCGCATACACTACGGAGACGCCGAAAATGATGACTTTCCTAGACAGTTTTTTCATACCCACGACCATCACAAATGACACATACCGTGCTGCGGCTATGCAGTTCCTCACGAACATCACCCTGGAGTTTCCGATGTAGTTTCATTATCATTCGAGTAGTATCACTGCATCCTCTCCTGCAACTCGCGAGAATTCGCCATCAGGAAGGACCGCACACGCAAGGTACGCATTACGTTCCCACCGCGTTTTTCTCTGCTATTAGAAATCGGCAACTTGTATACTCCTCTCGTCGGACCCGAGGATGTTCACTGACTCAGACGAGGGCATTCCAATATCTTCTCTAAGTCCCTTCTCCATCTTCGATTCTGCTTTGTTGCCCCCCGGCTAGCGTTTTGCAATTCAAGTTGAACCTGACTTGGCGCCTCGAATATCCTCCACCTTCCTGCTTACAAGTGTTTCGCTGACAAAATATCTTAATCATTCTGCGGCGTCTGTCCAAACTCTTGAAAATTCCAGTCAACGTTGAACTGCCCTTCAGCCGTCTAATCTAGAACAGGCTCCCCTTCCATCCCAGAGTGATTGGGAGCCCGCCCCGCAGGTCGCTGCGTCTTCGTAGGTGTCCGAATCATCAGATGATCGGGCAATGAGGATGAAACGTCGGCATCTAACGACGGTGAAGTTGTGAGAAGAAGAGATTTAGTGCTCTGTTAGTAGGGAAGTTGGGATGCGTGTTGAAACTTTGATTCGAAGGAAGAGAAGACCGAGAGAGCTGGACTTTCTTAGTCTCCCTAGTCAGACCATAGAGAGGCGGAGGGAAAAGAAACCGCAGGATTTTTAGCTCGTGATTGAAAACCTTCCAATAAATTCCTCAGAAAAACAACCTGCGCATCAGAAGGGACGGATGATCCATTTCGAGGGTGTGACGTTTCTCTCCAATTGCAAAGTGGCTGAGAGTCGGGGGTGGACAGAAGCGAAGTCCAAATCTCCACGATGACACTACTTGCTTTCTGTTGTTTCTTTGTTCTTCCAATGTTCTTCAATGGATTTTTGGAGCAGGGTTGCATCCAAGGAGGCTGGAGCGAGCTGCGATTTAAGGCTTCGCAAAGAAAAGGGAATTTGGAGACTGACGAAGCGAAGGTGAGTCCTCCTCAGCCAGACTCGTTACCAGTCCGCCCCGGCAATTCTAAGGGGCGAGCACCTACGGCAAAGTGCTCGCCACTTAGTATTGCCGTCTTTAGGGCAGACTGGTGACGAGTCTACTCCTCAGCCCTTTCCCATTTATCTTCCCTGTATGCGCTGACAACCCATTTAAATTCGTCTGCCCTCTACGCCGAAGATCTCATCGAAAGCACATAGACGAGCGTAGGCGACAGCGCGCTGACATAGCGCGTCAGTTCAGGTCAGTTCGTTTCAACCATAGCAGATGCCGGCCACACTTCCTACATTACGCGGCACGTTTCGCGTATAGCCGACGTCACCGACGCGACGCGCCGTGGGAAGTTCCCACGGCGCGTCAGTTCAACGCGTAAATCTCACCGCGTATCAACGCGTCTCCAACCTCGCGGATTGCGTCAAGGTCTGTCAAGTCCGAGTTCGTTGCTGAAGTCAGAGATTGGTCTGTAAATAATATACTCGGATACGACTGTTCGATGTTGCTCCGACGCGTGAATCCCTGTATTCAGGCAACGAAACGCAACTATGTTCAGGTATCAACATCGACATGGAGCCTCCTCAACTGTATGAAAGCTCAACTTTCAGCTTGTAAGATCCGTATCCCCAGAAGGTGAGACGAAGCGAACGGCAGGAAAGCGTAGATCTCCGCGCCCGACGTAAGTGAGAAGGGTTCTCGTGGATTCGACATGGTGGAGTGGGGTAGAGTAGGGGCTCGGCGGGGTGCGGTGACCCCGGCGCCCAGTGAGGGTTCAATCTTGGATGGACAAATTCATTGACAAGGGTGGATAAGACTGTGCATAATATTAACCCAGCGTGGTCCCATTTCGGAACGTGCTGGTACACTAGCGGAGATCTCCTGGAGCGATCTCCCATTGAATTATTACGATGAGTAATGCATTAGTCCACCTAATTGACGCAGCAACCAGAATGACACACAGAACAATTATTCTATCCCAGGGTCAAGCGGATATCCATCTATCTCAAATCTATCCCCTCCCTCCTACCTCACACCGGTGACCTACGCGGCGACATAATTACATATAAGCCTCTGTCCGCGCGCCGTGCGTGGTCTTGCGGTGTCCATCGAGAACAGCGGGTACCGGTATTGTGGATCGAGGTCACCGATTACGGGGGCGAGGATCCCGGTGAGTGTGCACATTTGGGAACAGCAGTGTGTTCCTTGGGGCTTGAGTTGGCCAGCCGTCTACAGAGCGTGGAGAGTACACAGGTACACGTCTTTCTCTTACTCCGCGTAGACGGGATTGTGCCGGGTGAGCGGAAAGGCGGAAGGACGGAAAGACTACACGGAGGCGACACTGGTAGGGATATTTGGCTGGAGCAGTGATACTGATAAACGCAATATAAGTACCCGGTGTTCTTGCTCCCCGCTGAAGACAATGTCCCGATTTGATTTTACGATTGGAGGAAGGCTATAGAGGATCGATGGATGGCCCCAGAAATTAGACCGACACACGTACAGGACGCGAAACGCCCGGCGGCCACGAAGATGTCGACCAAATGGCAGGCGGGGATGGTAGGTAGGTAGGTAGAATGGAATCATGAACCATACATGAAAGATGGAGAGATTAATTTTATCATTTTGATCTATCATTGATAGGGTGCGAGAAGGTGCGAGAGGAGTGTCGATCAGGAAGTCCACAACCAAGATGTGCAGGTACAAAGGTGATCATTGCGTGCGCGGCCGAGTCAACACTCGGATTCAAATGCTTGACGTCGAGGTGATACCCATCACGCCCATGTTGAACCAATAATTTGATGAACTTTGAACTTGAGAACACCCGCGCACCCATGCGAAGTGCTGCATGCGACGCAGCGATGGCGCGATGCGGTAAACTGGATCCAGGATGGGGGTTCTCGGCCTAGAGCGTGCGCTCGCAGGACAGAACAGGTATCCAAGTGCGTTGCGAGCTGTCCATCTTTGCTGCACATCCATCTACCGTTGGGTTCGGCCCTTCCATCGAGTCTGACGCGTCAAATTTCAATTCGACAATAGACGTTGGAGTCGAGTCAATTCGCGACGTCGCGACGAAAATGACGCGTAAATCGTGGTCTTGAACTTTGAGGCTGCCGCGATCTGTTAATGATACCGCCCGGTCGCTTGCTCGCGAATGCTGAAACTTGACAGATCGCGACAACACCAGGCAGGGCGTCACGCCTATTCCGCGTATTCGTGTATTTGCTGTTCGCCTCCGCATTGATACTAGACGGGAGAAGGAAAACTTCTCATGATCCGCCGGCTTGTGTGAGGGTGCACTAGGAGGCGGGGAATTGGATTTGGTGCGGCTGAGGGTGATAGTGTACTGATCGGAGATCAGGATGTTGCGGGCGTTGCGTACAACGTGAGCAGTCAGTCAGCTTGCAGGTCAGACATCGTGATGTCGTGTTTGTTTTGCAGCGGTCCCTTGAGTTGGAGCGATTTTGGTTGTTTGTATCTGAGGGTCGGGAAATGTCTATAATCGTCGACGCGAGCTATTGCTTAATGAATTCAGCGGACAATTAACAGGTAAGATATCCACCACGGATGCGAGTCCTCACGAAGGTGATTGATACGCATCGGGGGCGGGCAGACATCATATAATGAAAGATACGCCCATCCCAACATCCCACGCGAAGCATCTGCACGCGCGCGCTGCGGTAAACTATATCCAGGCCGGGCATTCTCGGCCGAGCCCATGCGCTGGCCATCTTTGTGTTCGGGTTTATGGGCTTCGCGGGGTTTTGATCATCTCGAACTGGGTCTCTTCTCCTCTCCCGCATTCCGGGACACTTGGGACTTGCGGGGAAGAGGCCGATTTTCATTTGGCGGGGAACACGATTATTTTACAGGGTAGGGGACAGGACGGAAGGCTGACGGAGTCCGAGCTGGACTCGACGGACTTGGAGACACAAGGGAAAGGGCTTCCGGGTCCGAGGAAATGATTCAGGGCCATCAGCGGTGAGCAGCGGAGCTAGTGATGAGGAGACTGAGAGGCTGCAGATATTTATTCGCCGATGAGTTCGAGGCTGGAAACGTGATACAGACACGAGGCCTACAGTGACAGAGATGATATATCCGTGAGGGAAGGAACCTGCGGGCCGTCGAGGTGGAGAGACGAAGCGAGGACTCGAGACGAAACAGAGTCGTCCGGTCCGTTTAGAGTCCGTCTTGAGGGGAACCTGACGGCGGTGGAATATGATGCCGTTCTGGAGCCTCGACAGCGTTCGCGGCAAAAGAGCGACACCGCCACCGGGTAACTCCGATTCGTTCAACCGGGCTCCAAAAACCTCCAACGCGAAGCCACCGCGCGCTCATCCAAGCCAACGTCGAGGGTGGAATTGGTCGTTTAATGCGTAAAGTGAATTCTGGTGAGATCTCTGGGGAACTTTAGAATGCGGAAAATATTGTCAACCTTCCTAGTAGTGTGGTTGAATTCGGCGGCGACCCTCGAGCCCACCTGTGCCTCTGCATCATCAGCCGTGCTAATATGCCATTGTGGTTGTTGTTGAGGTGCATCTTTCTCCAGCTTTTATCCGCCACTATGCAAATCAACAGCTCGACCGATCCCATCTGAAGTCAACTTGACGATTAGCACACCCCTATAAACCTTTCGTCCCTCATCCATTAAGGGCTTGGTGGTGTAGTGGTAACATGCCCTCTTAAAGTATGCATTGAGCGACACTTTAGGGGGAGTGCCCTGTTCGATTCGGGGCCAGGCCATTCGCTGTTAGTTTGTTAAGTTTTTCTTCTCTTCTTTCATTTTTACACTCGTGTCTAGATCTTCAACTTCAATGTTCCGTTCCGTTAAATCCAAGATGCATTCCCCGGCTTCGATTAAATGGAGGTCTTTTAATAATAATATTGTGTTCAATTTCTGAAATCCAGTTGAGAGTAGCTCGGTACATGATTTTCCTCCCTCAAAGTATTATAGTCCTCGTCGAACTTGATTCCTCGTTCGATCCAGCTATCTGTCCTTTTTTTCTTTTTCGCGACGGAGAACATATTAATCCACCCCGCCCATCGGACACCCTCACCCGCGTGATTTCTCTGCATATTGTGTATCGATTGTCACTCACGCCGTTCGACATGTTCCTCGCAGATCCCGCCAAGAAGGGCGTCTGTCTGTCGAAAAAAAGCTCCAGACATTTGCCGACGCCGACGCCGATCTGACATGATCCGCAGGATGACGGCGTTTCGAATACGGTAGGCGACGTCGACGCGTGCATTATCGTAAATCACCGCGTATCAGGCAGGTTCGGGACCGGGGGACAGGAGCAAGGTTACAGTACAGGTACCTGGTGAGCGGTTCAGGCGGCAACGTAGACTCTAAGCTTCTTCCGAGTCGAGTCCAAAGGGTTTGCGCGACGCGCAGAAGATTGGGGAGTATGGGCACGTATGTACGTTGCCGTGGTGCATAGGTACGTAGGCGACGGGCCGCGTATCGGCCGGGAGTGGCGACGGAGGAGAGCAGATCTAGACATGTCGGAGTCGGATCGCTTTCGTGGGTAGGCGGCGCGTACAGTCCGCCAAGAACAGAGCCCCAGGTGCGGGGATCGCGCCAGTGAGTGTCAATGCGGCGTCCCAGATCCAATTTCCGTTTCCGCTTCGCAGACCGTTATGGAGCAGAACGGGACGGATCGTGGGCGCAAGGAAGGAAGGAAGGAGGGAATTTTGGCGAGTTGACACTGACAGATCACGACAACCGCTGACATCCGAAGTTCAAGTTGCGTTGAAGTTGAGCTTGGGAACGCAACGGCAGCGTCACGTGTATCCGCGTATCCGTGTATCCGGCGGTTGGTGAAACGAGAGGGGACGGGGATCCGGGTTAGGTTACATAGGGTGGTGCGGGCGGGCGAGGCGAGGCGAGAGGGTGTGCGGACGGAATTTCGCGGTCCGTGTTGGGTTTTCTTTCTCAAAAGACTATAATTGAATTAGCTTAATAAAGTTAAGAGATCGCGTGGTGATATAAATCTGGAGTGGGACGGACTCATATCCTCCTCGCGCTCCGTGTTGGGTTTTCTGGCGATTGTTTGAGTGGCTATAATTGTCGGGCGCTCTCTGGAGGTGTGTGATACCAATCTGGATTGTGAGATAGGCACTCACGCGAAGGGGCTGCACGCGCTGCAGCGATGGCACGGTGCTGTAATTGGATCGGAGTGATGATCAGGTTTTGGAGAAGATTAGATGGGCGCTAAAGTAAGATAAGTGAGTGGGAGATCAGAGAGAGCGACGAGACTAAGAGAATCTCTGATCCACGCTCTTGGTAGATATCAATATGCTATCAGTGATAGATCTCCTGGGCAGGCCGACTACACGAGGGGCGAAGACGAAACTGCTGTAAGGAAGCGGGTTCAGGGATGAGGTGAAACGTGTACGTGTCGAGGTGTGCGGCCGCCGGGTAGAGAAAAGGAGAGAAAGTGATGCGCCGAGTCGGGCACTGAAACGCAGATCCGAATTTGGGGAATTGATGGTGGATTGATGTTAGAACCTTCTTCCTTTCGATACGTCGAGGGAGGGTAGTGGATGGCAATGTCTGTGCGCGCCTTCCCGCTAGACGTCCACACACCCCCGCCCCAAAAAACAAGAGGACACCCTGCGCTTGCGTACCGGGCCGACCCACCGCCCAGCAGCGAAAAGGTGTACCCGACGACGACGAGCGCGGGGTGGACCGTCGTGCACCATGGCACCCTCGGGCCCCCAAAGTCATCCCAGTCCACGCTCCCACTCGACCCGCTCGTGCTCCCCGTCCCGCCCCTCCAGCAGCGCCGCGCCCACTCCGCCTCCCGCCAACTCCCCATCTCCAGCGCCGCCCCCGGTGCAGCCCAGGCTCGCCCGCTACCCGTCCCCCCGCCGCTCGACACCGTCAGCGTGGGCAGCACGACCTTCACCCGCCGCCCGAACCACCCGCAGGAGCGCGAGAAGGGCAGGCGCCGCGCGAGTGTCGGCGTCCAGCCGGCCTCATCCTCGTCCTCGCTCAGCACAAATACATCCAATACGTCAAACTCGAATCTCACCGCGGGGGAGGCCCCGTCGCCTGCGAGCGCCTCTGCGAGCCGGCCGCTCCCCCCGCTGCCGCCTCCTTTGGTCTCATCGTCTGTCGCTGGTTCCTCCCGGGCAGGCCCCTCGTCGTCGCGCGCGGGGAGCTCAAATCCCGGCGGATCGCGCGTCAAGTCCCCGCGGAACCGGACACCCGAGTCCTCAACGTGCGTCCCAGCCTTCTTAATTTTATCCTTATCCTTATTCTATACAGCTACAGCCCCGCCAAGCTCGGGCCCAGCCCGACGCTCCCGTTCGACGGCGTCTCGGGCGTGTGGGCCCCGCGCCCCGCCGCGGATATGCACAAGGAGCGGGGTGCGTCCTCGTTCTTTTCATTAAAACTCTCTAACGACCCCGCAGGAATACTCGCCCTGCCGCCCCTCTCGCGCAAGTCCTCCTCCGACCGCATGGGGCTCGCGCGCCAGCCGTCCTTCGACCGAGACAGGCTCGCGCGCCAGGGCTCGAGCGATCGGCTCCAGCGCCAGGCGTCGTCGGATAGACTGCAGCGCCAGCCCTCGAGCGATAGACTGCGGCGCCAGACGTCCGCCGACAGGCTCCAGCGCCAGCCGAGCGGGGGCCTCGTGTCGAGCCTGGCGGGGACGCGCGCGCGGAAGACGTCGTTGACGTCCGGTTCTGGGGTGCCGCCGGTGTCGCGGAGGCCGTCTTTGCAGAGGCAGGGCAGCGGGTCTGGGGGTAATCCGCCGAATGCAAATGGGGGACGCACGAGCTGGGGGGAGCAGAGTGGGGATGGGAGCAAGGAAAAGGAGAGGGAGGTGGCGGGGGTCGTGGTCGGCGCGAGTGCGAGGAGGAAGTCGAGTCTGCCGGCCGGGGGTGGTGAGTGGTGTTTCCCTCTTGTTTCTATGTTGCGTTTTCTGCGCGGAGGGCTTTTTTGGGACTGGGCGGCGGAGGCGTTTTTTTTTGCGATTCCGGTTTCCACTTTGCACGGCGGGGTTGCTAGGGGAGTTCGGTGTCGGCGGGTTGGGGTTGGGACTTGGGAGTTGTGCGGGCGGTGGTCTGTACTCACCGCGGGCTTTCTTTGGGCGGTGTTGCCAAGGGTGTGCGGATTGGGGTTGTGACTCGGAGTTGTGCATTCATCCCGCGTCTGTCTCCCTCCTCTACCGCGTACTTTCCCTTCCATCGCATCCACTCGTCGCATCTCACATCCGAGCTAACCGATCCCCAGCCTCCCCCACCCGTCCGGGCCTCTCGCCGCACTCGCCGTCCTCCCAGTCCTCCGGGTCGGGGTCCGGCTCGGGTTCTACGCCGACCGCCGCCCACGCGCAGCCCCCCTCTCCCGCCTCCCCCCGCCTTTCCTCCAATGCACAGAATCCAGCCACCACCAGCACACACAACACGCACGGTCGCCCCCACGGGCACGGGCACGGGCGCAGCGCGTCGATCCCCGGCATCGGCCTCGTGCAGCCCGCGCCGCTCGTGGTGCCCGTGCGCAGGACGCCGTACGGGGCTGCGGGCGCGGGCGCGGGGTCGCTCAGCGCGTCGTCGCTCGTGCCGACAAGCGGACTGGGAACGGCAGCAGCAACAGCGGCAAGTGGGATGGGAACGGCAACGGCGCGGCCGTTCGTCGCGCCGCCGCCGCCGCCGCCGCTCGTCACCGTGCGCAGCGCAAACGCGGGGCCGGGCACGTATTCGAGCCCGCCGAGCGCGAGCAGTACAAGGAGCGCGCCGGCGATGGTGGGCGGGGGCGGTGGGGCAAGGGGTGTGCAGAGCACTCCGCCGATACCGCCGCCACCGCCGCCGCCGCCGCCGCTGAGCATGGCGGTGCTGCGCGCGGGCGCGGGCGCGAGGAGTGGAGGTGCGCGTTTTTTGCGGTGTCGTATTGCGGTGGCGTGCTGACGAGGTGTGGTGTAGGTCCGCACACGGGCGGCGGGTACATGGCGTCGCCGTTGACGGGCGCGTCGACGCCCGCGAGCTCGTGGCACCGGTACAGCGACAGCAGCCGCGAGGGGGATTTGTTCGGATATCGGGACGGGGAGAGCCCGGCGACGGCGGCGACGACGCCGGCGTCGCGGGAGGGGAGCGGGTGGTGGGGGACGGGCACGGCGGGGAAGGAGAAGGAGTATGCGGGGTCGCCGCTGCAGATGCAGCATGTCGAGCCGTTGGTTGTGGCGAGGCACGCGTCGCCGCCGACGTCGCGCCACACGTCCCCACCCGCCTCGCGCCACACGTCCCCACCCGCCTCGCGCCACACGTCCCCGCCGCCACCGCCCCCGCCGCCGACCTCGCCGCAGGACAAGGACAAGCGCGACAGGCGACGCCTGCGGCGGCACGTATCCACCCTCGAGCCGCCGATCCACTCGCACCCGCTCGAGGACGAGGGCGCGGCCGAGGAGGAGGAGGAGGGCGAGGGCGAGGAGCGCGGCTGGCTCGCGGCGCTCGAGGGCGAGGTGCGCGGCGAGGAGATGGACGGCGTCGCGCTCTCGCCGCCCGTCTTTGCCGTCGCGCACGACCCCGACGACGAGCTCGAGCTCGACGCGCTGGACCTGTACGACGACTTTGACGACGGGGACGCGGGGTTCGACGACGGGTTTGGCGGGGGCGATGAGCTGGGGCGGGGGAGGCGGCCGCGCTCGCCGTCGCCGATCCGGTACGCGCGGCGCGCGAGCGTGGACGCGGACCTGCTCATGTCCGACTCGAGCGAGGAGGACGACGCGAGCGCGGCGGGC